TTAGTTTAATAGATTTTTCTTGATTTTATTTGAATCATATAAACTTTGTTCTTATTGAAAGTTTATACTGATTACAATTTAGAACATCACACAACCTTTTGACGATAGGAGGAGTTATTGTAATACAGGTAAATACTCCCTAATTTTTGCCGTCAATATAGGTGTGGAAGAAATACAAAGTTGATGTTGATTTTTTGAAATCAGATTTTTAAAAAAATCAGTTTGTGTGAGGAATTGATTTGTAACCAAAAATAAAACAAACACTGGTAAATCCTTCATTGATGACCTTCTGTTAATAGTTCAAGTTTTTATAAAGATTTTATTAAATTTCTTCAGACATTTACGAATTAAAATTTCCCCAGACATTTTCTATCTGTTTTTTTGATTCCTGTACACTCAGTAATAATATCTATTTAGGTGTACTTCATTTACTTATGGCTGGTGTTATAAATAAGTTGTCAGGTAAGAACTCATAGAAAAATGTAAAGTAGCCTTTTAGATCAACACGTAACTTGCTATTTTCCTGAGATCTCTTGTATTTGTTAGAGTAGCACCTCAAAATGGATATTGTAAAGTTGTATTCTATTTAGAGCTACTTATTTTAGTTTGTATGGGCCAGAGAACACTGTGGATTTTCACAGATAGGGTACATATTTGATTAATTAATTTGCAATTTCTCTTTGTAGGCTTGTTTTGATCCACCTCTTGAAGTGGTTCCCACCAAGAACCCAATCATGCACAACAAGAAGGCAGGTGACCCAGTCCGGCCTGACCTTGCTAGTTTGTTGGTGAAAAACAAGAATCTTTTGGCTGAGGTATATGGATTATCTGAAAATAAAATACTACAGGAAATTATATCCTCTGTAAAAGTATGGAGAGAAAGATTCTGATAAAGGGCTCAAAAGTGTTATCTTAACTCAGTTTTGCTTTTTTCTCAATGCTGAATTCTCTCATCACTGAGGAGCACTAGTTTAGACCCAAATCTGTCTTTGCCAGAGAAATCCCCTTGAAGATGGTACATAGTTAAGAGCTTTTGAGTTGACTATTGAATGCTGTAGTGTTAGAACATTGCTTAAGAACTGCCATGCTCAAAATTTATGTAATCATAAAAATAGTTACATGGATTAAACTTTTTTTTTTCTGCTTTTTCTCCCCACGTCCCCCCAGTCCATAGTTGTATATTTTAGTTGTGGGTCTTCTGGTTGTGGCATGTGGGACACCGCCTCAGCGTGGCCTCACAAGCGGTGCCATGTCCGTGTCCAGGATCCGAACCAGTGAAACCCTGGGCTGCCAAAGCGGAGGGAGCGAACTTAACCACTAGGCCACAGGGCCGGCCCCAGATTAAGCATTTTTTAACGGAAAGGATGAGTTCCATTTTCAATATAACACCAAGTGGCAAATATCCACTAATCTTATTTAAGACTTGAAACATCTGAATAACAAAACAGATGAAAAGAAAGAAACCCAGTTTGTAGGAAATGCCTGACTTTTACTGCCTGTGATGAACTAGATGTTACCGAACCTGAAGTGAGTTCGCTCACCCGTTGCGCTGCAAGCCAATCTCTGACACGGGGTGTGGTGGAAGAAAGCAGGAATTTTATTTTTGCACAGCGCTGAGCAAGAAGAGAGGGCAGCTAGAGCTGAAATCCCAAACTCCCTGAAAAGCTAAAAGGAAGGGTTTTTATTTGGGGTTTTAGGTAGGGGAGGGGGAGCATATGGCCTTGCTGGTCGGAGCTTTCCCACCAGCCTGTCTTTGGCCTTGAGAAACTTGCAGAGAGGAGGGAGCTCATGACCTTGCTGGTCAGCAGCTTTCCCACCAGCCTGTATCTCTATGCGGGAGGAGATAGTCCAGGTGCTTGTCCTTGACGGTGTCTGTCTCCATGGAGGATAGTGGATTTGGGAGCCAGGAAGCCAGAGAGTAAGCAGGGAACGAGTGTTTTGGTTTTAACCCCATATATGCTGGGTTTAATGTGGGGAAACTGATATCAGGGTTGATATCATAGAGAGTACTTGTAGGAATGCCTTAGTTGAACCCAAGTACCCTCAGTATATTTGCTGCAAGAGATGGTCTTATAGGTAACCTTGGCTGGAAGCCCAAAGGCCATTGTCATTGTTAATGGTACTATGATGTGGCTGTTTGTGTCTGTACTACTTCTATGGTTACCTTTAGGTAAAATGCTCTGAATGCTTATATTCTGGGACACTGACCAGCCCTCTGAATAAGTAACTATCTGTGGTGTCTATATCAGTTTGTGTTATTTTGCTGGGGCCGCTGTAACAAAATACCACAGACTGGATGGCCTAAACAACAGAAATTTATCTTCTCAGGGGCTGGCCCCGTGGCCGAGTGGTTAAGTTCGGGCACTCCGCTTTGGCAGCCCAGATTTTCACCAGTTCAGATCCTGGGGACAGATCTAACACCACTCATCAAGCCATGCTGAGGCAATGTCCCACATGCCACAACTAGAAGGATCCACAACCAAAATATACAACTATCTACTAGGAGGCTTTGCGGGGAAGGAAAAATAAAAAATAAAATAAATAAAATCTTTAAAAGTGAAAAAAAAAAAAAAAGAAATTTATCTTCTCACAGTTCTGGAGGCTAGAAGTCCAGGACGAGGTATTGTGTCAGCAGGGTTAGTTTCTTCTGCTTTTGTTTTAAAAAATTTTTTTCCTGCTTTATTGCCACATAATTGATATATTGTGTAAGCGTATGGTGTACAATTTGATATACATATATATTGTGAAATGATTAGCACAGTAAGGTTAATTAATACCTCATCCCCTTACGTAATTACCTTTTTGCGTGTGTGGTGAGAAGGTTGGTTTCTTCTGAGGCCTCTCTCCTTGTTTGTAGATGGCCGTCTGTTGTCTGTGTTTTTCACATGGTCTTCCCTCTAACTGTCTGTGTCCAGATTTCCTCCTCTTATAAGAACATCAGCCATATTGGGTTATGGTCCATCCTAAAGATCTCGTTTTAACTTAATTCCCTCTTTAAAGACCCTATCCTCAAATACAGTCACATTCTGAGGTCTTGGGGGTTAGGAATTCAACACAGGAAGTGTGAGGGGACACAACTAGAGTTGCCTTATTCCTTGGGGCCTCTTTTCTGCCCAGGGCCTCATTAAAGTTCTTTTCTGCTATTTCATCTATCAATAGCCCGATTACAGTTTTCATTTAACATGTATAAATATAGTTATAGATATGTAGATAAATATATATATTTCTGGAAATTTTATTTATGCTAATATTTTTTCTCTTTTAGCATAGAGAGGTAAATAGAGGTTAAATTTAAATGACGTTTACGTAGATACAATAAATCTTATGACACTTTGGAGAGATTTCTTAATTTGTCTTTCCTTTCAAAAAAAATGTGATGCCAATCCCTGAAAACTGTACAACTTTACTATGGATAGTAAAGTTCTTCTCCACAGCAAAATTTACTACTAATACTTCCAAAGTTTGGAATTTTTGGTAAATCAGATTTGGATTAGATTAAGGTTTATGTCTATGCCTAATTCATAAAAAACCTTTTAAACCAAATTGTCAAAAAAGATAGCTTTTAAATCTTGTTTAAAGAAAATACGTAAGCTATTTTAAAGAATTTCAAAGTGCTTTTTAAAAGCAATTCTCTACATGTCCATAGATCTTTTGGTAACTGTAAATATTTTTAATCTACTTGTCAAACCAGATATCTGAAAGGCTCTGCAAGGTCTCATTTTGACTTGGTTTTAGATGCTCTATGTATTAAAAGTATGCCATGGCTCATATTGGCATTCTCTGAATTTATAACACTTAGTGACTGTTACTGCATGGTTTCCCTGGGTTGAAGTTACTTTTTAAAAAAAGTCTAGCGATTTCAACAGAATACCTTCAGCATGAGTCATCTTTCACTTTTCCAGTAACCTATTATCTAATCCCACACAAGCACAATTGTCTTGATAAGATGGTCTTTCTCTTCACTGCATGCATTTAAAATTTTTTGTTATAATTAACTTTATCTCTTTGTGGGACATACAGAAATAATTATCATGTGTTTCTGCCCAATAATGGAGAAACAGGTGCAGGAGAGCTATATTTAGGAAAAGCCAGATATAGAAAGGATAAATATTAAAGTATTCAGTTGGTGATTGTGTTGTCTAGTTTAGGCAATATGATATTGAACTAAAACTCTTGCATAGTGCTAAGATGGGTTACTATAGAAATAAACATGAGTTAAACAACTTGTAAAAAACTGTTACTGATAATATGTATAATAAGGCCTGGTGTCTTAAATTTAAGATAAATTTAACGTGTCTTGCCAGTACTGTTTGGTTTGTTATTTGTGAGGGCAATATGACTGTTTTTGCAGATAAGATGTTTTTCTTCCCTTAGCATAGTAATAAGGCAAATAGTAGAAACCTGGTAGCTGCAGCCAGCTCTGGAGGGGGCGAATAGAGGCAATATAAATTTTGCAGCTAAAGAAAAATATATCAGAACCAATTATTATTAATTTAATTGAAATTTTCATTGAGATAATTGCAGATTCACTTTCACTTTTAAGAAATAACAGAGAGATCCATCATACACTTTGCCCAGTTTCTCCCAAAAGTCAAGTTTTGCAAAACTATGGTGTAACGTAACAGCCTAAATATTGATATTGATACAATACAATCCACCAATTTTATTCAGATTTCCCCAGTTTTACTTGTACTCATTTGTGTGTTTGTGTGTACTAAGTTCTAAACAATTAGTCAAGATACTGAACAGTTAGTTTCAATACCACAAAGATCCTTTCTGTTGCCATTTCGTATCCACACCCACTTCCTTCCCACCCTCAACCCCTGGTGACCACTAATCTCTCCTCCATTTCTAAAATGCTATCATATCAAAAATGTTATATACTCAAAAAGCTAAACATAAGACTTACCATATGACCCAGCAATCCCACTTCTGTGTAGATATACAAGAGAATTGAAAATATATATTCAATAAAAACTTGTAAATGAAGATTCATAGCAGCCTTATTCATAAAGCCAAAAAGTAGACACAACCCACATGTCCATCAGCTGATGAGTGGATAGGCAAAATGTGGTAATCCATACAGTAGAATATTATTCAGCCATAAAAAGGAATGTAGTACTGATTCATGCTACAACATTGATGAACCTTGAAAACATGCTCAGTGAAAAGAAACCAGTCCACAAGAGGCAACATACTATATGATTCCATTCATATGAAATGTCTAGAATTGGTTAATCTATAGAAACAGAGAGTAGATTAGTGGTTATCAGGGGCTGAGAGAGGAGGGGAGAATGTGGAGTGACTGCTAATTGTTATAGGGTTATTTTAGGGGATAATGAAAATGTTCTGGAATTAGATCATGGTGATGATCAAAATTTGGGTTTCTTTGCCATAAAAAATAATGCAGGAGTATTTTAAAATATTAGAGTTTGCATATCACTGTTCAAATGGAGGAATTAAAAAGCTGGAACTGGCAAGTCCTCTGGAAGACTAATGGACAAAGTTTGGTCATTAAGAGGAAAATTAAACTAGATATAGAAATCAATATTGTGTGAGTCTGAGATGTATGCTACCTTAGGTATTTTTCAAGAAACATTATCTTAACAATATCCTAACAATAGGGTAACTAAAACTGAGATCTTAAAACATAGTTCTTATATCAGAGTACGGGGCAATGGCGCCACTGCCTCACACAGCTCCAGGGGATATTTGTTATTTTTATGGGATCTTAGGTGAATGGTAACCACTGCAGTCCAGAGAACGCCTCGGCTTACTGGTTAAAATAATGAAGGACTTTTTAAAATTATTGCGATTTTCAGAAGTTGGGATCCTTTGGATAGAATGGAGTTTCAATTCAACATTTGTTGAGGTTCTGCCATGTGAAAAGTACTGAAATAAGGTACTTGGGAGGTGAGGACAGAAAAATAAATGAACCGTGATTCTCATCCACAAGAAAATTAGAAAGTGGGGAAAGAGAGACATAAACAATGAAGGGAAATACCAGGTAAGCTCCATGAGCATGGGCTTCTTGGAGATAGTGGCAGCTACGGGGAAACTCGAAGGACATAAAGGATTTTACAGAGGTTGAAAATAGGGGTGTAGAATTGCACACATGGGTTGGAGTCAATGAAAGAAGCTCCAATAACATGAATAACATGCTTTATAAGTTTGAGATCAATGGGGATTTGATGAGGAGTGATATTACATGATGTGAAATGACAACTGAGAGCAAAGTAGTTATCCTTTGCTTCTGTCCTTGGAAGAATTTGTCCATACCACTATTATTGTACCTGTTAAGGTATATTCTAATTCATTTGTTTTCAAATTGGTCTCCCTTGTGAGCTGAGAACATTTTGAGAGCTTTTCATCTTCTTAGGATCCCCAGAGCAATGCCTGGAACATAGAAGACACTAAAGTCTTGCTGATCAAATGAATAGTGGCTCAGAGAGGGGCTAGTCTCTGATCGGAGGCAAGACCACCAAGTAGGAGGTCTTGTAACAAAAAGTGCATGAGATGGACAATGAGGCCCTGAGACAAGACAGAGGCAGCAGGCATAGGGAGAAAGGGGTAGATATGAGAGACATATTAGCGGAAAAATTAACAGATTTAGTGACTTGAGGGGGAGGATAAAAAAAAGGTGAATCAAAAAATGACTCTGACCTAATTAACATGTTTTTACAAAAATATAAATGAATTTTAAAGTTTCCAGTTTTAAAACATTTGATCTTGTTATTAAAATGTATTTTCTAAATGGATCTTTCATAGAATATTTAACCCATTATTTTAAGTAAATTAATTTATGGTTAAATTACTAGGTCTGAAATAGGATCTGATTTGCAATACGCAGACTGAGGGATGAAGCAAATCACATATTTTGATAATAAGTAGAAATCCACAATGAATGTCTGGAGGGGAGGAGTGGACATGCTCACAAAATGCTATGACAGAATAGCACCTTTACAACTGCTAACACAAGGAGTCAAAGTTTCACTTGTGTGAAAAGTAAGAAGGGGGAAAATGTCTGACTGACCCTAGAGTTTAGCACAAGTTTAAAAAATTGAAAGCATTTTATTATCAACTAGTGACAGTGAGTCCTCTTAACTTATCACGCCTTTTCTCTAGGGAGAATTTGTTAAATTTATTATATCACTAATGGTTGTATTCCATTCTTAGAAGTTTTAGGTTAATGATGCCGTAATTGTTTTTTTTAAGGATTCCATCCTCACTACTTCAGACTGCAAAACTGATTCTCTTAAGAATTTTGTCAGAATGTTCTAAAAAGCCCAACTTCAGACTATAAGCCATTTACCATTTCCATTTCCTCTATAGTAGGAAGGCTGTAATTATCCTATTAGAATTGCTTGAGGGTCAAGACTATAGAGCAGCTTTTAATATGCATATTTTGGGGGAAATGGAGCAATTTTTTAAAAAGAAGATTGGTCTGTGCTGGAAATGGAATAAAAAGCACTCTAAATGATGAAGTCACTGCAACCCTGCAGACTTATGGGGCTGGCCAAGAAGTGTTCACTGAATTCTGAAGACGACTCTTCACCCTGGGAAGTTTCATCTGGCTTCCAAACTGTAAGATACATTGTTTTTCAAAACCACATTTACATCTGTTATGGTCATTTAAAGAAAAAACCCTCACAATATAGGATTTGTCATATCTAGTTTAGCTCTGTTCCTTAATACCGGCACTGGGAAAGCCACCACGCAAGAGAAAAAGAATCTTAGTGGAAGACTGGAAAGAAGTAATCAGGAATGGAGAGAAAAAGGAGACTCAGTTCCATGAAAGCCAAGGAGGGAAAGTTGTGAAGGAGTGGATCAGTCCTGGAGTCACTGCAGAAGGCAGAAACCACTCTAAGTATTTCAAACAGAAGAGAATTAAGTATATACAAAATGATTGGGAGGTCTGGGTGTGGGGGTCGGGGCCAGCATTGGATGAATGAGTTCAAGGGCACCATTTAGATGAGATCCTAAGGTCAGGAAGTTGCTGCTACTGGCCTTGAGCCTTTATTGCACAGCCAAGGCTGCCTCTCAACCTCCATAAAGCTGGTAACCAGGTAATGATATGTTTTTTCTGGCCCCCTCTTTGACCTTGCTTACTAGCAGAAATAGCAGTGGGAAGATGGCTTCTTCTCTAGTCTAAATTTCATGGGAATGCATCTCTTTGATGCCCCCCAATTTGCATATAGCCTGGCTCTCAAAGTGTAGCTCCCCAGACCAGCAATATGAACATCACCTGGAAACTTGGTAGAAATACAGATTCTCAGGCCCCACGTCAAACTACAAACTCTGGGGGTCGATCCAGCAATCTGTTTTGTTGTTTTGTGTGTGTGAGGAAGATTGGGCCTGAGCTAACATCTGTCGCCAATCTTCCTTTTTGCCTGAGGAAGATTGTCGCTGAAGTAACATCTGTGCCAATCTTCCTCTATTTTGTATGTGGGATGTCACCACAGCATGGCTGGATGAGCAGTGCTAGGTCCAATCCTGGGATCCGAACCTGCGAACCCAGGGTGCCAAAGCAGAGCTTGCAAACTTAAGCATTACACCACCAGGCCAGCCCCCAACAATCTGTTTTTTTAACAAGCCCCCCGGTGATTCTCATGCATTCTACCGTTTAAGAAACCCTGGCCTAGAGAATTCCAGCCTACAAAAAGGGAGTCTGGAAAATAAGTTTTATTTCTAGTTCTGCGGAACAAGAAGACATCACAGGGGTAGGAATGGATACCAAGTGCCAATGATCGTATCTGGCAAAAGGTATGCCATTTGCCTATGACTAGATGAGCAGTGTATAGGTCTGTGCCTAGGATCTAAACCTGTGGACTCCAGGCTGCCAAAGCGGAGCACATGAACTTAACCACTATGCCACCTGGAGACCCCGGAGTGTGTGTTTTTAATAGCAAGGTAATAAAAAAAAATACATAAAGGTATATGTTGAGAACAGGTAAAATTCATTTCATTGTTTTAATTTCACAGAATTTTTTAGACATAGGAAAAAAACACCTTATACACATACTGGCCTAGAAATTTAGTTTAAAATGCTTGGTCTTCATAGTGCCTTTGCTGCTAGGAATTACAGCATTTCTAAGTAATGCAAATTTTTTCAACAGCAAAATATTCCTGACCTTTTTCTGGTTAAAAGCTAATGATCTTTTATAATGTCAAATCAAATTTGCCCTTTTTTCCCTACTCTCTTACTAGATCATCAGGCTCATAAACAGCCTGTTAAGAAATTTGAACAAATTAGACTAAAAGTTAAAAGTTAATTGACTCCTGAATGTTAGCAATACCTCAATTTTATTCATCTAGTGAACTTTCTTCACTTATCAGGCAGAAGAGAAGAGATTTTTTTAAATGCTACCCAAAGATAAATAAATCACTCACCTCATGGCAGCTGTGCCCCTTGTCTCTCCAATCCTTTTGTCTTTTCCTCCAACAGCAGCCTGCTGGCTCTCTTGTGTGGCTCCCCTCTCACAAGCCATCACTCTTGCTTCTCTTCATAACTTTATGATCTCTTCTTTCCTTTATTTGCCTTAAAAATATTTATAATCAGTTTAAGCCTCACTCTTTCTCCTGACTCTCCTCTCCACCGATTTCTCTAACTAGCACAGATAAGCACAGGAACCACCAGGTGGCATAAACATAGGCCGCTCTTTAGAAGAGAGGCCTGTGAACACACTCCCCTCAACAACACATCGTAAAGCAAAACATCTATGGCCAAAGCATCAAGCACTTCTTTTCTAGAATACATTATTGATATAATTTACTCTGGTAACAAGATTTAAACCATTTTAATGTTGATGAGAATAAATCACTTATTCCAAACTCTGCGTGTCAATTTGATATGATTTTTAAAATGTATTTAACATTGGAATATACTGTTAGGTGAGTGGAAAGGCTGCATTTTATTGTGTAATAATGTATAACTTAATTACCTATAATCACTTAGAATCATGAATTTTCTAAAACCAAAATTATAAATGATTTTAAGTAACACTTTCCCTTTCTCATTAGCTAAGAAATCTTCAAAACAAACTTTTCATAAAAGAAACTTCATTGCAAGAGTTGAAGAGTGAACTAGAAAGTTATAAAGAAAATAATGTGCAACAGTCATTCCAGATAATGTCCCTGAAAGATGATATCAAGGACCTACATGAACTTATTGCTTCTCTAACCAGAATTAAATCTTTGAAAAACACCAATATTCAGAATCTTGAAAGAGGCAACTGGGATCTAATTGAAAGAATTTTAGAACTAGAAAACCATCTAAGGTGGGAAATTTTCTAGTTTTTTTAAATGTGTCGTTTGTCATAGGCTTGCAAATAGTACATGAACTCCATATGCCTGATTGATCACAGAATTTACATCTAGTAGAATTTCACATAATACCTGACTCAAAATTATTATATTTTTTAAAAACACTTTTATTGAGATATAATTCACATACCATTAAAATTCACCCCAGTAAAGTGTACAATTTTGTAGTTTTTAGTGTATTCACAAAGTTGTGCAGTCATCACCACTATCTAATTCCAGGACATTTTCATCATCCCCTAAAGAAACCACGTGCCCATTAGCAGTTACTCCCTATTCCACTCTCTCCAGTCTCTGATAATCACCAATCCACTCTTCTTTCACTACAGACTTGCCTTTTCTGGACATTTCATATGAATGCAATCAAACAATACATGGCCTCTGTGTCTGACTTTTTTCATTTAGCACAATATTTTCAAGATTCATCCATGTTGTAGCATGAATTGGTACTTCATTCTTTTTTATGGCTGAATAATATTCCATTATATGCACTTACCACATTTTGTTTATCAATTGATGGACTTTGGGTTGTTTCCTTTTTTGGAGGGGGGTCTTTAGGAATAATGTTGCTATCAACATTCTTGTATGAGCTTTTATATGACTGTATGTTTCACTTCTCTTAGGTATATGCCTTAGGAGTAGAATTGCTGGGTCATAAAGTAACTCTGTGTTTAACCTTTTGAGATTACTTTTGAGGAATTTCTAGGCTGTTTTCCAAGGCAGTTGTACCATTTTACATTCCCACCAGCACTGTATGAGAATTCCAATTTCTCCACATCCTCACCAACACTTGTTGTTGTTCATCTTTTTTATTTTAGCCATTCTAGTGGATATGAAATGGTACCTCACTGTGATTTTAATTTGCTTTTCCATAACGACTAAAGATGTTGAGCATCTTTTCATGTGCTCAGTGGCCATTTGTATATCTTTGTAGAAATATCTATTCAAATCTGTTGTCCGTTTTTAAATTGGGTTTTTTTATTTTTTATTGATTTTTTAATTATTATTTAAGTGTTCTTTATATATTCTGGATACTAGACCCTTATCAGATATGATTTGCCAATATTTTCTCCCATCTGTGGGGTTGTCTTTTCACTTTCTTAATGGTGTCCTTTGAAGCACAAAATTTTTAAACTTTGATGAAGTTTTTGTCTTTTTTGTCATGTGTCTTTGGTGTTATATTTAAGAAACCTTTGCCTAATCCAAGGTCACAATGATTTACATGCATTTTTTAAAAAAGAGTTACAGTTTTAGCACCTAAGTTTATGTCTTTGATTCATTTTAACTACTTTTTGTATATGTTGTGAGTTAGGGGTCCAAATTCATTCTTTTTCATATGAAGACTCGCTAGTCATCCCAGCACCTCTTGCTGAAAAGACAATTCTTTCTCCCATTGAGTTGTCTTGGCAATCTTGCAAAAAAAATCAATTGACCATAAATGTATAGGTTTAATTCCGGACTCTCAATTCTATTCCATGGGTCAGTATGTCTGTCCTTAGGCCAGTACCACACCATCTTGATTATTGAAGCTTTATAGTCAGCTTTGAAGTGTGAGTCCTCCAACTTTTTCTTCTTTTTCAAGATTGTTTTAGCTATTCTGGGTCCCTTGCCTTTCCATATAAATTTTAAGATCAGCTTATCAATTTCTGTAAAAAAAGGCAGCTGGGATTTTGATAGGGATTGTGTTGAGTTTGTAGATCAGTTTGGGGAGTATTGCCACCTTATATTAAATCTTCCAATTCATGAACATGGCATGTCTTTCCACTCATTTAGGTCATCTTTGATTTCTTTCAACAATATTTAGTTTTCAGTATACAAGTACTACATTTCTTTTGTTAAATTTATTTCTAAGTATTTTTTTAGTGCATTGGAAATGGAACTGTTACCTTAATTTCACTTTGGATTGTTCATTTTTAGGGAATAAAAATATGATTGATCTTTGTATATCGATCTTGCATCCTGCAGACTTGCTGAACTTGTTTATTAGCTCTAATAGTTCTTTGTGGAGTCCTAAGGATTTTCTCTATAGAAGACCATGTCATCTGAGAAGAGATTTACTTTTCCTTTCTAATCTGGAAGCTTTTAATTTATTTTTCTTGCCTAATTGCCTTGGTTCAAACCTCCAGTACAATGCTGAATGGAAGTGGTAAGAAACCAACATCCTTGTTTCGTTCTTGATCTTAGGGAGAAAGCTTTCAGTCTTTCATCATTAAGTATGATGTTAGCTATGGGTTTTTTGTAGAAGCCCTTTATCAGTTGAGGAAATTCCCTTCTATTCCTAGTTTGTCAAGTGTTTTTATCACGAAGGTGTATTGAATTTTGTCAAATACCTTTTCCCGCACCTATTGGGGTGATGATGTGGTTTTGTCCTTTCTACAATTTGTTATTCTTAGATTTGTGGTTACTTAGTTGTTATGCAGAGAGAGGAGATATTTGATCATGTGGCCTTGGTTGAGAGGAGGAGAAACAAAGTCATTTAATTTTCCCTCTTATAATATTAATATTTAAGAAAGTCACACAATATGAAAAGCTATTGTATTCAGAGTTGAATATTGGTGTAGCCTGTTTCTATTCTATAGTGGTTAGTGTATATCATCTCAGTTGATAGGTTGAAATTTCTTCTGGGGCTTGTGTTTCCCAAATCGCTTTTAAAAAGAAAACATATAGGAGCTTGAAACTAAGTAATAAAGCAAAGCTCTAGTCAGATTCAGAAATTAGTTAAAACAAAAGACCAGCAAGAGGGAGAGTAGGATTTCTTTTTTTTCTGGTTGTGCAGTGTCTGAAGAAAGAAGACTGACCAAGTTCAAGTGAAGCACTGATTAAAAGCAATTCATCATCCAAATAAATATCTTCTCTGGGATAAGCTGCCTCCTGAAGTTGGTCTATAGTTTGACCCGTAACAGCTGACCGTGCATTGCAGACTCCTCAACACAGTTTTGAATACAGCTGCAGAGTGAGCCACTATGGACTTTTCGCTTTTGTTTTGTCTTTGGTGCCAATGAGAAAGGTGCTTAAATGGCATGCCATGCATTTTTTTTCGTCTTTCTGTTAGTGTTGAAGGGGGAGAGAAGGACTGGAAGCAGCTCCTATGGAGCAGGCTCTGGAGGAGACGCTGGACAAGGATTGTTCTTGGGCAATATCTGGACCCCGGCCCCCTTTAGCTGCCTTCTCTTTGCGGTCAGTGCAGTTGGGAATAAAGTTTCAGGCCCAGCACTTTTTCCTTTTGTTCTGTTGGTTACTGAAAGAGGCTTTTTTAAATCTCTAATTAAGATTGCGGATTTGTGTTTCTCACTTTTAGTTCAGCTGTTGCTTTAAATATTGTGGAACTATTTGCATTCTAATTTAGCATTTTTATACTTTCTGTTGAATTGTCACTTTTATTATTATGAAATGCCCCTCTTATTTTAAGATTTTATTTTTCCTTTTTCTCCCTAAAGCCTCCCAGTACATAGTTGTGTATGTTTAGTTCTGAGTCCTTCTAGTTCTAGTTGTGGCATGTGGGATGCCATCTCAGCATGGCTTGATAAGCAGTGCCATGTCCGTGCCCAGGATTTGAAACAGCAAAACCCTGGGCCGCCGAAGCAGAGTGCATGAACTTAACCTCTCGGCCAATGGGCCAGCCCTGAAATGTCCCTCTTTATATACTTGTTTCTTTAATGTCTACTTTGATTTTAACATAGCTACACCGTTAACATTTTTTTCACTCATGATGTATCTTTTCTGTTAGTTTACGTTTCTGTGTCCTTATGTTTAAAGTATATCTCTTGCAAAATGCTTAGTATTAGCTTTTATTTTTTTAAATCCAATCTGATAGTCTTCTCTTTTAATTGAAAGATTTAGACCATGTATCTCTAATTACTGAAACTGTTGGATTTAAGTCTACCATATTGTTACTTATAATCTGATTATGATGTGTCTTGGTGTGGCTTTCTTTGTATCTATCCTGCTTAGGATTTGCAGAAATTATCGAGTCTATCAACTGATGTCTTTTATCAGGTTTGGATAATTCTTGGGAATTAGTTTGTCAAATATTGCTTCTATCCCATTCTGTCTCTACTCTCATTCTACGGTTACAATTACAGGTATCTATGAGCTTTGGATTGTGTCCTACATGCCTCAAATATAATTTTTTGAATTAAATTTTCTCTTTAGATGATTCAGATAATTTCTTTTGACTTGACTCAAATTCACTAATTCTGTAGATGCAATTCTTAGACAGAAAAGAACATAAAACACTTGGCAGATGGACTGAAACTTTAACCTAGCTTCAAGGTAGAAAATATTACCAATACCTAGCAATTGGTAATCAAAACAAGAACCAAATAACTAGCTGTTTGTATATTTGATAATAAAACAAGTTTTTACATATGCTATTCTCTGTGACTGTATCATTATTTCTAATTCCTTTTCCCTTCATTGAATCCCAGTTGAAGAGCCCAGTCAAGTGGGAGTGCTGGTATCCATGTGGAACCTCCTGATCATCACAATAATACCACAGTGGCAAACAGATAGTCATACTCAAATTTCCCCTTGGAAAGGATGGTTTCAAAATTGACCTTCCTCAGGGGAACTACTACAGGACTTCACACTGGATTATTTTTCTCTCCATTTATCTGCCAGTTCTAGTCTCTCCCTAAAAATAGTTGGGTAACTGCACAGCTCTTTTCAAAAGAAATGCATTTTTATTTGATAAACATATTTAGTATATTTTAAATGCGGGATGCTTCTTTTCGTCTTTTAATTGAAGTTTGAAAATTGATTCATGATATTGTTACCTACTGATATTTTACACAGAGTACATCTGGTTGAAAGAGAAAAGGCAGAGCGAAAAGCAGACCTTTTGGAGAAAAAGTTAGCAAATGCTAACAGATTCACCCCTTGTATGAACATAAAAGGACAAGGAAATTCCTTGGATAGTTTCACGATGAAGGTGAGAATAAATTTTGATTGATTTTTGAAGAAACGAGATTTTTATTAGCTTGTGTTACTCCAGGAGATAACTGGCAAATGTGGTTTGTTGGCCCTCTTCTTATGGAGGATCAAAGGAAGGAGCACAGCGTGGTTGGCTGGAAACCTTTCTGACGTGTGGAGAGAAAGTGCAAGGAGGATCTGAAGGTCTCTGTCATACTGAAGAAAATGTTAGAGGGAAATGGAGCTGTAAGAGAGGCAGGAGGAGAGGTGATGGTGAGAGAGTGAAATCTGGGAGTTTTGAATTTCTGGTGTGGGTTAGTTCCTGCCGCTGACAAAATCTGGGTTTTGGATCTGCGTGTAAGGATTGAAGTGGGGAGTAGATGAAAGTCAGTGAAACTGAAGCACAGGAATCGCAAAGCTAAATTGATGGATCATCTACATTGGACATTGAAATCTAGAATTATGGCATGAGTTGGGTTTAGAAGGAAGAGGTGAGCCTGGTCCCTAGTAGGTAGCAATTCACAGAATGAGTAGAGGTTTTATAGAGGAATATTGGAGGAGGATAGGAGACAGACCATTATCAAGGACATGGTGAAAGTTTAGTTTGAAATCCTTAGACTATAGCTGTTCATTATATAATCTGAATGTAAAACAAGGTCCATCATGATCCAATTAATGTGAGGGGTTCCATTTTTTAAAATCCAGCAAGTACTTTCAAAGTCGTTTAAAGTAATTCCAATTGTTAATTGCCTCTCTCAAGTAATTCACAGTAACATTTCCACTTTTTTTCACTTCTCTCACCAATCTGTCACATCTCTGAAAAACTCTCTCACACCAGAGTCCATGCAGCTCTGACATTTTCTTCCATTGCTCTCTTATTCTGCCTCTTCTTTCTAGGCTTTTAGTGATGCAGACCCATAGATCCCCTTCTATTTCCCAGTTTCACACAACATAAAGCCTAGAAACTGAATTTTCTACTCAGCTCCCAGAGTTGAAGGTGGCAAGAAGAGGGAAAGAAGGCAAATCTTCCTGTGGGAGGCGGGGGGAAGGGGAAGTACAAGCATTATCTTTTATTTTTTTCCTGTTTACAATGGAAGCAGGATGATTACAGGAACACAAGGGAAAGACATGTGACTTCTTTCATTATACTTTTACATTATCTAAGTTGTTGTTAGTAAATGATGTTCTATAACCATAATTAAGCCTTTATGAAAATATCCGTTTTCCTGCCAACTTTTCACTTGCCTTAGCATTTAGTGATGATCCTTGCCTGATCAGTTATTTCACTAGGAGATGCAAAATGCTGATTTTTAAATTTCTATGATTCCTCTCACATTTATTAGTTCAAAATTTTCTGTAGAGTTCCTCCATAAACTGGGGTGGTCTGGTTAGCTGCTTCTCTAAGCTAAATTTCCTATCTTCTCAAAACAGTTTCTCCATACCATCATTTAAATACCACTTGATATTCTAGTATGCTCTTTTGAGTATGTCTTTGTCTGTCTTATGACTCTATAACTCTTAATTTCTATTGAAAGCCTTTTCTCTTAAAGTTTTGTATTATGACTATATTTATATTTCAAAAGATGGGCAGTAGATGTCTCAATATTAAATTCCAAATGGGAAGTTTAACACGTGTGTTGGCATATTTAGGATAAGGGTGAAGCTATCCTGGCCAAGAATTTTGAGAGAGACAACATTTCTCACTCTGAAGGACCAAAAGATGGACAGAAAAATTGGGATAAATGTGAACATGATTTGATCCATAAGGAAAAACAAAAGTATGAGTTAGACCGACATCCATATTTATTCAGCTGGGAAAGTAAAACTGTGCAATCCCACTATCAGAAATTCCTCAGTCAGCTCGCTACTCTTCTGAGCAACAGTGTCGTCCCCATACCAGCCGCGGAGGAAGCTGTGAAACAGAGGATTCAGGAAATTGGTGCCAATGAGCAATCTTGGAAGTCTGTAAGTGTGTTTACAGAAAAGTTATTCTTTCAAATTTGCTTCTTTTAAGATGTGGATTTTGATATTAGTCGATTTAGTAAACTGTGGCTCTGAATTTTCATTTTGATTTTATTTTTATTACCGCAGTGATAAAAGGGAAGAGGATGTCCATTATTACAGCAGAGGTAGTATAGTGTGTTTGTTCAGAGCAGAGAGCCCCGGCATGAATCCCAGCTCTGCCATTGCCAGCTGTGTGGTCTTGGGCAGGTTACTTATCCTCTCTGTGCCTCGGTTTCATTTGTAAAATTTGGCAGGAGTCAGGGCAAGGTGGGGGTTGGGGAGGCATAGTTCCTATCGCACAGACTAGTTGTAAAGATTAAGTGGATTAATACGTGATAAATGCTTAGTGCAGTTCAGTGTACACTCAATGAATGCTAGCTTAAAAATAGTGGTATGGTAAAGATGATGTTTCCGTCTGAGCAAACACTACTCAGTTCAGTCAGTGCAGGAAAATAAATTGTCGAATCAGTTATTTGTTTGAATTTACTGGTCAAGTCTATCAAAACATTGAACCAGCAAGTTTAAGTGGATATATCTTCTCGTGTCCAAACCATTTTAGTAAAATTTTATGACTCTTCACCCTAAAATTCAAATGAAGATACATATCGCTTAAATTCAATATATTAGTAAGTCCTGCTACACAGTGGTTTGTTTCTTGTAGAGTTCCATTTTTTTTACACTTTGCTCTCTTAAAAGTCATTATACAGATTTATTTCTCAGTGCTTACTAACAATGTCTTATTTTTGTATATCAAATCTATTTCTTTTTTTTAAAACCAGCTTAAACATGTCAAATCTTCTCTAAAAACTTCCCTATTCATCTATGTAGTAATTTAATGTCACTACAATGTCAGTGTAAGTAGAACTTGCTCATAGTTTTGAAAGGAAATAGAAATCATCACAAGCAGGACGTTTTATCTATTTTTTTCCCTACAGAGAACTGAGGGCCTTCAGCAGGAAATTCAGATGCTCACTAAGTGGCTGGAGCACCTGCATCAGCATGGTAAAGCCGCTGCCCAAGAATCCCCCCACACTGAGGAAAAGCGTAGGGAACAAAAAAGACCCTTGAAATACCTGGAAGGAAAAATTGATCTTAATGACTTTTTTCAAGGGAGATTTGACTTGGACAGGAATAAAGTAAGAATATCCTGAAGTATGAGGCATTTCTTTGACAATGAAAATAATCATATTTTATTGTAGTATCTAATGTTTAAAGCTGTTAATACTATTTATACTTTTCTTAATATTAGAAAAGGGAGGAAAATGTGCTACAAACCTTTAAACCTGATTTTATCAAAAAGCCTCTCCTTGGGGCTGGTCCCGTGGCCGATTGGTTAAGTTTGCACGCTCCGCTGCAGGCGGCCCAGTGTTTCGTTGGTTCGAATCCTGGGAGCGGACATGGCACTGCTCATCAAACCACGCTGAGGCAGCATCCCACATGCCACAACTAGAAGGACCCACAACTAAAATATACAACTATGTACCGGGGGGCTTTGGGGAGAAAAAGCAAAAAATATAATCTTTAAAAAAAAAAAAAGCCTCTCCTTACTTCGTATCTCCCATTTCTCTATTGTACACATATTTGGTATTTATTGTGAAGGCATTTGTTAACATATTTCTTAGTGTACTGTAAAAAGAAGATTGGAAGAAAAGGAGCTCAAGGAGTGACTCTCTAAAGGTAGAATTTCAGACACTGTCAGCCAGATATGATGGGTGTTGGGAAGGGGCCATTGATGATGTTCCTCAATGATTACTATACAATATACCATTACCTTCTCTACTTTCTGCCTCTCTCAATCAGTAAGGAAAAAGTCAATCCTAAGAGTGGGATGGAAGTAGGTAGGATGCAATATAATTTATTTTCAGGAGATTTTGATTCTGTTTTACTACCTCTTCATAGAATTGCTTGTCACACTCAAACCTATGTTATACTATTTGTATAATTGCTATGGCCCAAAGCATAATCTCACTCACTTGCTCACCACTCACTCATTTAGTGTCTCCTTCCATTCATTCACTCATCCACTATGTATTGAGCGCTCAGTTTTAAAAAGTTCCAGCACTTAGTGAAATGGTATCGATGATGTCCTCTACAGAGTCCAAAGACGAATCCAGCTTCTACCTCTGCTCTTGAATATGTGATTGATGATGATCATTTCCATGCAAAATTTTTAAAAATGCTATATTAAAATTTAAGAATATACAAATAACACATGCTTTCCACAATACCTGAAACCATGTTAAAAGGTTTGAAGAAAACAATAATAATCTTTTCCAACCCTCTTTCTGCCTTTTTCACCTCAGTAACCAATGTGTATATATCTTCTACAAGTATTGCCATGGTTATGGAAATATGCAAGCACATATATGTGGGTGGTGGTATTTTTATAAAACTGGGACTATACTAGTCAAGATATTCTTCTTACTTTAAGAAGGAAGTACCTCATGGTCTTAGGTCAAAAGATTTAGATTTAACTCATTCCTTAAATAGCTGCATAGTATTCCATAGTGTGTATATAACTTATTTATTTGACCAGTTCCCTGTTGATGGCTTATCAGATTATTTCCATGTTTTATGCCACTGCAAGTAATGCTGCAATACGTATGTTTATACATATTTCTTTCCACACTGGTGCTGTCTTCCCCTTGGGATTGAGTTTTAAATGTGGAATTACAGCATCACAGTATATGACCATTTAAAATTTTCATAACCATTGCCAGAATACTACCTTCCAAAAGGCAGAAGGAGTTCACTTTCCAGCTAATAATATATAAGAATGCCTGTTTCCTTTTCAGACCCTAGCCAGCAGTGGATACTGTCATTCTTTTAGAGTGTGTGTGTGTGTCTGTCTGTCTGTGTCTGTGTAAGTTGGGTTAAAATAGTACATTTCTTATATTTACTTGACTACTAGTAAAGTTGACCATCTTTTTTTTTAAATGCTGTTGACCACTTGGATCCCCTTACCTTCCTACTCCTCACAATTTGGACCTCAGATGCAGAAGGCTGAGTTAATCAAACTCCATGGTTCATAACATTATCTTGGGCCATGGAAGGTCCCTCTCTTATTTATTTATTCCTTTTTAGCTCCTTTTCCCATTCCGTCCCCCAAAGGAAATCAATCTAACATGTTTAATGTGTATCTTTTTGTTTACAGATGTTCTTTTAAAATGCAATTTTTGTGCATATATATATATTTGTTTTTTTCTTTTTGCTTGAGGAAGATTGGCCCTGAGCTAACATCTCTGCCAGTCTTCCTCTATTTTGTATGTGGGATGCTGCCACAGCATGGCTTGATGAGCGGTGTGTAGGTGCACACTTGGGATTTGAACCTGTGAACCCTGGGCTGCCAAAGCAGAGCACACGAACTTAACTATTCTGCCACCAGGCTGGCCCCTGTGCATATATTTTAAATTTGCATAAATGGATTGTATTAAAAATCTCATTCTATTAATCAGCATTATATTTTTAAGATGCACTTCATATTGCTATTTGTTCATCTAGTTGATTGCTTCTGTCTACGGCATGGAGTTCTACAGTGTACATATCTGCCATGCTTTGCCTGTCCACTCCTCTAGTGATGAATACTCCAGTTACCTCTGTCTTTCTGCCACCACAAACAACATTGCTACGAGCATCTTCATACAAGTCCCCTTAAGGACCCATGAGTGAATTTCTTAGGGATGTTTACTCAGGATTGGAATTGATGGCTTATAGGATATGCATACACTTAATTTGACTAAATACTGCTAGACAGTTCTCATAGAACAATCGTCCCACCACCGATACACGAGGGTTCTTGAATCTCCACATTCTTGACATTAACCAGCTTCTTAACTTTTGTCATTCTGTTAGGTATAAAGTGATTGCTAATTTAATTTGCCTTTTTCTAATAATGCGTTGGTGCATTTCCTTTGTTTTTTAGTCTTTTGGCTTTTTAGTCTTTGCTGGTTTCCTTTACCCATTTTGCTGTTTGGGTTCCTGTCTTGTTCTTGTTGATTTCCAGAAGTGTGTGCACGTCTTCCTGGCCCGTTCAGGCTCTAACACTCCATGACAGGTCACCTCTCCACATGGGCTCTTGCCTCACCCTGCTCAGGCTCCGAGTCCCTCTGTAGGGCCCCCTCTGCGGACACTTGTCTTCCTGCTTGGGCCCCGTAGGCCTACTCTGGGCCACGGCATTTCCCTTCTCATTCTGGTGAGGATGCCTACCTTGTTCTGCCCCCTAATTCGAGCTTTTGGACTAAATTGTTCAGAAAGGAAAAGAAGAAGAATAGGAAGAGGAAGAGGAAGAGCAACTGGTTTGCAGTTACCCTTTCAAGCATCCTGATAAATGCACTTATTTAAACTATGATTTTTCTGTCAAGAACTACTTTAGCTTTGTTCCACAAATACACAGGTACTGTTTTCCTTATCTTTAATTTTAAATATAGGAATACATTTTTAAGTTTCCAAACATATGGCATTTTTTAAAATTAGTATTTTATTGCAACATTGTAGAAGTATGCTAGGATCCTTGAGAATTTATTGAGGCTTCCTACATAGGGTAATACTTGGTCTATTTTAGTCACTGTTCCATCTGTGCTTATAAAGAATGTGTTCTCTGCTTGTTGGGTGTAAAGTTCCATAGATAGCTAATGCTCAAGCATATTATTCATATGGTTCAGATTGTCAGTATTTCTGATTATTTTTGTTTGCTTGATTCTGAAAAAGGTATGCTAAATTCTCCAAGTATAATTTTTGATTCATCCATTTGTCCTTGCAGTTCTGTCAGTTTTTGCTTTATAGATTACTGGAGCATATGCACTTACGATGATTTTTGCTGTCTTGCTCTTTTAAGCACTATAAAACATTCTTTTTCTGTCCTTTATAAAATTTTGCCTTAAATTCTCATTTTTAGAAATTACAGTTACTAAAACAATTTTCTTTTGGCTCACGTTTGCCTGATATATCTCTTATCTGTTTTCTTTTACTGGATGCTAATTTTTTTTAGACAATCACTAAACTTGACCAAAATATTTGATCACCCTTAGTTGCATATCTCTTGAAGCATGCTCCTGGGTTTTTCTCCTTGTTTGAGTATTCCTACAAGAGAATTTTCAAAAACTGGATCTTTGTGGAGCCCGCCCAGTAGCATAGCGGTTAAGTTTGCGTGCTTCACTTCGGCAGCCTATGCTTCACAGGTTCAGATCTTGGGCACAGACCTACGCACTGCTCATCAAGCCATGCTGTGACGGCATCCCACATATAAAATAGAGGAAGATTGGCATAGATGTTAGCTCAGGGACAATCTTCCTCAAACAAAAAGAGGAAGACTGGCAACAGATGATAGCTTAGGGCTAGTCTTCCTCACCAAAAAGAATAAAAATAAAAAAATTAGATCTTTGTGTGGCAAACTTTCTGACACCACATGTGAGTGATAGCATTTTTATTATGCCCTCACATTTGAATGACAATTTGGCTGGATATAAACTTCTAGGTTCAAAGTGCCTTCATTAACTTCTTTAAAAATATCTCCTTGCATCCCTTGTTACTGTTGAGAAGTCTGATATCAATGTGATTGTTATTTCTTTGTAGGTGATCTGCTCTTTCTCTCAAGAAGCTTTTAGAATTTTCTCATTTGCTTTGATGTTCTTAAATTTCACTATAAGGGGCTTAGATGTATTGTTTTTCTTTACCTCTCTTGTTTGGCATTTTATGAACTTTTCAATCTAAATCTTTTATCTGTCAGTTTATCCTTATTATTTCAACGTTTTCCCCTCTCCATTTATTTTCTTTTGATTTCTTTTTTCTTTTCTTTTCTTTTTTTCTTTTTTCTTTTTTTTGCTCTTCTCTTCTTTTTCTACTCTCTCCTTCTATGACTCATCTGAAGGCTGGAAATTTTATTTGTCAACTTGGCTAGGCTACAGTGATATTTGGTTAAACATTAGTCCAGATGTTGCATTTTAGATGTGATTAGTACTTAAATCAGAAGACTTTGAGTAAAGCAGATGACCCTCCATAATGTGGGTGGGCCTCATCCAATCAGTTGAAGGCCTTAAGAGGAAAGACGGAGGTCCTCTGAGGAAGAGGGAATTCTGCCTCCAGACTGCCTTTGGACTCAGCTGCAACATCAACTCTTCCCTGGGTCTTCAGCCTGCTGGGCTGCCCTCAAATTTCAAAATTGCTAGTGCCAACAACTGTGTTACCCAAATCTCTTTCTCTCTTTACACACACACACACACACACCCTATTGGTACTGTGTCTCTGGAGAACCCTAATACACTTTGCTTTTTTTCCCCAATAGTTTATATCTTATCCTTCGCTGCTGCCTTCTTGGAAAGTTTCTCAATCTGATTTTCCTACTTACTCAATTTGTTCTGCAGCTTTTCCCTGCTATTTATCTCATCTATTGTGTTGTTCATTTCAACTATTATATTTTCATATCGAATATTTCTACTTGGTTGTTTTTACTTTATCATTTCTTGACCTGCTAATGTCATCCCTTGTCTCTTGAGTAGCCATAACTTTGAGTAAAGCTGAGGTTATAATTTTTACATTAAACTGAAAGTGATCAGGGAAGTCCTAAATTTAATTTAGTGGCAAATGAAGAATTAGTCCCACAGGATACATTTAAAGGAACAACAGAGAATTTTATGTCAAAGTAGCAGCTGGTAAATACTGTTTAAAATTTACTCAGTCAGCTTTGTAATAATATAATTCTTGACAAATTAAAATTTTTTTTGAATTCTCAGTATTTCCAAATGTGTGTTTAAAATGAGATTATTGACATACAAATATCCCACTTTTCAGATATCTATAATTTAAGTATTTATAATTTTAGTGATTGATAATTTCTGATAACCTGGCACATGTCCTCTTTCCCTTTAGCAGATCTTCTTTATGTATTCCAATAGGATTTTATAATGTTCTTCAGATAAATCCTGTACATCTTTCATATAAGTCTTTCTTGTAAAATGTATTCCTAGGTCTTTTATAGATTTCCTGCGCATTGTGAATAATATATTTTCCCCATTTCTATTTGAAATGGTTATCATTAATATAGACAAAAGCCTTTTATATTTTTATTAATTATCTACCACCTTATTGAATTCACTTATTAAGTCCAGCAGTTTGCTTTACTAGAGTTCTTTGGTTTTCTGGACACAATTGTATACTGTTGTGTTTTTCAAGAAATAATGTATTTCCCTTTAGATGGTCAACTTATTGTCACTGAGTTACAAAATAGTCTTTTACACTTATTTTAATCTTTTCTATATCTATGTATTCTGTATGTTTCTCCTTCCTAACATTGTGTGTTTTTACTTTCTCTCTTTCCTCTTTAACCAGGCTTGCCTGGGACATCTATTTTATCTTTCCAAAGAACCAGTGGTTCTTTCTTTATATACATTTTAGTAATTTATTTTTGATGTACATATAATGAAAATATATGGTATCTTTATTAAATGTATACCCCTACTTTCTCTTTTCCGATATGTTAGTATGCCTTTTTTTTGTTCTTTGTTTTAAATCAGAAAAGCAGTAGAGCTGTAAATATTCCTCTGTAGCTTGTCCAGTATATTTTAATATGAAGTTTTCTTTCACTATGTTTTATATATGTTTATAATTTTACTGTTGACTTCCATTTCTTCTTTAAGCTGAAGTTATTTTTATTTATTTATTTATTTTTTGAGGAAGATTAGCCCTGAGCTAACTGCTGCCAATTCTCCTCTTTTTGCTGAGGAAGGCTGGCCCTGAGCTAACATCCGTGCCCATCTTCCTCTACTTTATATGTGGGAAGCCTACCACAGCATGGCCTGCCAAGCGGTGCCATGTCCGCACCCGGAATCTGAACCGCAAACCCCGGGCCACCGAAGTGGAACAAGCGAACTTAACCACTGCGCCACCGGCCGGCCCCCATAAGCTGAAGTTATTTAAGAGAACTCTTTTTACCTTTTACATTTATATATATAATATATGTGTACGTTTTTAAAAATTAAATATGCCAAGACTCTTCCACTGAAAAGCAGCAGCCCACTTCTGTACCTCTATATGCTATTTCCCAGAGGTAACTACTTCCAATGCTTTTAGCTGTTGCTTCTGGTAGTAAATTCCATTTCCCTCAGCAATTTGCTTATATTGCTATATCATGAGTTATTTATTTTAGACGTTATCTGTTGACTTCCTGTTATATGATAGATGAAAGTTTGTCTTATACCACTTTCCTACCTCCGCTTCCATCTTCCCAATATAGGTATATCAGTATTTTTAGCTAAATCCCTAATCAGCATTTACTTCATTATGACACTAAATAATGTTTACAAAATGCCAGGTACTATACTCGTGGTACATTCCCTTTCTTGTATTGCATTTTATTTTTCCTAGAGTTAATACTTTTCTTGTGTTTTCATATGTATAATTTTCAACATTCATTTATTAATTTTTTCCACAATACTACATCAGATGATCTTCTAATCTATAAAAATCTCCCATTCTTTCTCACCCAAAGTCCTTTATTGTCTTGCTTCTGTCCGGATTGTTTGTTCTGTGGGCCTGGGCACAGCTATGATCTTGTGACTTTTTTTTCCTCCCATCTTCTAGTTAGATTGCACTGTTTCCAGAATGTCATGTCTTCCTCTTTTTTGGTTTACTTTCTTATTTTGCTGGAGTACCGCCTCTAATAAATTCCTAAGAAATGGTGTCTTGGAAAGAGACATTTTTTTTGAATCCTTGCATGAATGACAAAGTCTTTTTTTTTTTTTTTCACCCCTTTCACTCAGTTGATAGCTGGGTCTAAACTTTATTTTCACACAGAGATTTGAAGGCATTACTCCATTGTCTTCTAATTTCCAATGTTATTGAGAAAAATGTTGCCATTCTGATTCTTGTTCCTTAATATATGACTTATTTTATTTCTTTTAATGGATTAGAACATTTGTAACAACATTTCAAATAACTGTTTTTTTCTCATAATAAAATTAATTTACGTACATTAGTTCTATACATTTCTCCTTCCTAATATTGTGTATTTTCACTTTTTCTTTCCTCTTTAACCAGGTTTGCCTGGGGCATCTATTTTGTTTTTCCAAAGAACCAGTGGTTCTTTTTTTATATACATTTTACTAGTTTTTAGTTTATATGTAATGAAAATAGATGGTATCTAAATCTTCACCCCTTCTTTCTCTCTCTCTTTTGTTTTTCTGGTAGCAACTTTATAAGGTACAGAATAGTAGAAAGAATACAATTAAAATCATCAGTAATTCTACCACTTTGAGATAGCCAGTATTAACATATAGGTATATTTCCTTCTGATTATTTTCCATGAATATTTTAACATAACGGAGATAGGCATAGTTTTTCTTCATCCTGCTTCTTTCATTTAATTATCTCATTAGTATTTTCTCTTGGTAAATATTTTTGAAAACTTGATTTCTAGGGAACATATAACCAATCACATGTAATTTATGTAATTATTCTCTTTTTTGACATTTGCATTGTTTTTATTTTCTCATGTTATGAATAATGTTGTAAGGAATATCTTTGTGCTTCAATCCTTATCCAAATATTTGATTATTTCCTTATAATACATTCCTAGAAAAGTTGAACTAATCTGTGCTACCACCAGCATTTATAAAAGTATCTACTTAACTGTAACCTTGTTAGCATTAAATCGTCACTTTTATTGTTATATTTTATTTTCTGGATTATTTTAATGATGCATATTTATGGTGAAAAAATATTTTACTTATGTCAGTATTATGAAGTCTACAATTTATCGGTCTAGAGTGCTAGTATGTCTAGTATGCTACTCTAGTATGCTAGTGTGGAATGCCATCTTAAAGCGTAACTTCCTTATTTCGATATTGTTGATTTCTGCAAAGGAAAACTCCAGGAACAAGTATTCCCAGACAGATGAACATGGCAAGATGGTCAAAGAGCTAGAGAAAGACAAGCAACAAACATTACTGAATATTCAGCAGAATTTGCAGATTGCTACAACTCAAAGATTAGAGGAGAAAATTCAGAAACTTCAGAAACAGCTCAGTGATTTGAAGTTGTCAAATAAAAATATGAAAACTCAACTGACAAGAGTAAATGTCTTTAAGGTAGGTAAATTAAATGAGACTTTCAAAAATTCACTTAAGCATTGGTCTGTTACTATTTTAGCTGCATGTTTCTCATTGAACTTAAAAGAAAAATTAGCATTAAGGTTATTTTACATACATACAAAAGAAAATATATAATATTAAAGCATGTAGAATAATAAAATCGGATGCCTGCAAATCTGCCTTTTTCATCTTAAGAAACAGAGTATTGTTGACACAAATAATCCATAATCAACCTATAAATCAAAATTGGGGTGAGTTTATTATGAGCCGGGTCTTAGGACTATAGCCCAGGGCCTTCCTTCCTCAAGGAAGGAAGGTCACCAAAGAAGTAGGGTGTACAGACTGGTTATATACTGTCTTGGAACAAAGAGTACACATCACATATGACAGGAATATCTCTTTTACTACTGTCATGAGATGCTTAGCTGACCCAGCAGATTGGTGGTCAACAGGTCAGTGGTCACAAGGTGAGCACAGCAGGTCAGTGGTTAATCCTTAGTTTCCAGAAAGAGATGATTATCCTTAAGGAAATGCCAGTATGGGGGGAAGCTACATCCCTCTCTTCAAGGGCATCATTCTTGGCTTTGGGACATAGTAAATGTTTAAAGCAGATGTACAACACGTGTTCAACAGACCGCATCAGGCCCTTTTGGAAAAGCAAGGTCAGACCGAATTAGTTTTAAATCAAATGGCGTCGTCATGTAGTCCAATATATCCTATTGCTTTTCATTTATTTATCAGTATCATCAATTCCCCTGAAGCCCCCTTGTATTCTCCTACCTAATCCTCTCAGGCAACTAGTACGCTAAATGTTGGGATTCTGGATCTCTTGCTTTTTGTTTTAGTTTTGTTTTTCTTATTGGGGTAATAGTTAAAAGTTTTAGTCATTGTTTGGGCTCCTCTTTGGACCTTCTCCATATCAAGCTTCAGTTGTAGTATTTCAAACATACATTTTATGCCTTAAGCCAAAGATGCACTAAATACTTATTGATCAACTTTTTTTTCTTTTTTTGCCATTTTATCAGCAATATTTCTCTTACTGGAGAAACAGTTATTTTCTCTATTTGATTAGCACAGACTGTAAGATTTTGAGGACATGGAACATGTGTTAAACCTCTTTAAATCCTAGGTGCCTGGTTTATAAAACTGCTCAGTGAATGTTGGTTATTGATGAATATGATGGTGGAGAAACGTCCTCTTAATTCATAAATTGTGAAACTTTCTTTCTTTTCCATGTATCTAGTTCTAAAAAAAAAAAGAGTAGGAAAAGAAGCAGGCATTATCATGCATCAGGCCTGTCTGTTATTTAGACGAGATCTAACCACAGCCATTGCCTCCCCTTCCCCCAACCCTATACTCTCACAGGACAAAACAATTGAAAAGCTCAGGCAATCTTTAACAAAAGCTGAAGCAATGAAAAGGAAGGCAGTTAGGAAAACAGACAACTTGAAAACGACATCAGACTCTGCTGAGCAAGAGGCAAGATGGGACAAGGAGCGGGCCCATCAGACGTTAAATTCTGCCCCTCCTGAAGTCTGCACGGCGAAGAGCACACTTGAAGAAGTATCAGGACAGCAACAAGAGGTTAGGTTTGTAATTACCATATTAAGATTCTTTTAAGTTGAAGTGATAAACACCCACCTCAACTGAGCCTCTACCTAACTTAGATAAAAGGGAATTTATTGGCTTATGGAATCCAAGCTAAGTGAAACAACCAGAACTCTGGGAGGGCAGAGATGCACCTGGGCCCCTGGATCAGCAGTGGAACCTCTAAGGCTTTTCTCATCATCTCTTCTTGGCGTCTCTCTGTGAGTCAGCTTGTCTGTCTGACTGAGCCATGGAGTTTTATGTGTAGTTTCCATGACAAGAGAGGGAATCCAAGAAAGGGTCTTATAAGCCCAGCTTAGGTCAAATGCCTATTCCTGGTGAACCCACAGTGGTGAGGGATGGGACATATGATTATCTTAGCTTAGGTTTGCGTACAATCCCCTGACTAACCAATGACAAGGAGGCTAGGGATGCGAGAGAATGGAAGTTCAGGGGAAACCGTGTGTTTGGGGCTGAGTCACTTTCTAGGACAAGATGGTACTGCTCCTAAAGTTGCTTAGGTTTTCACTATATTTATAAAGCAGATATTTTAAGAGAATTTTTAAAAGGTTAACTGATAATTTGGGGCCATTAGGGAATTATATACCACACCTCCTATTAGCTGCTTAACAAATATATAACTTTAACCAATTACCTTAAGAGAGTCTTGAAACATAAAGTCATGGCATTATTACTTTTTTCTCTTTTTTAAACTTACGCATATTCATATTCTTGATTGTTTTTATTCTTCTCTTCAGTGTCCCTTCTTCTATTTTCAGTCAGATCTCCTGTCCTTTGGGCTCTCTGTAGCTGACTCTTCATTTCTGACATGATTTTGTCTTTTTCTTTTCTGAGCTCGATCATCACATCTTCCTTATCCATGAGGCATCTTGGACATCTTTTTTGTCCATTGCTATTCTGAATTATTACATCTTTGACTCAAAAGAAAGTTTTTTGTTCCCCCATGTCTGCCAGTCCTTGCTGAATTGATATTTAACTCATATCAGGTGTTGTGTCAAACCCATTTCCTTTGACTTCACAGCTGTCTTCTCGGGAGGAGCATTTTCGTCGCCTAACAGTTTGGATGATATTCCCTTTCTATTTTCTTCTTAAAGTAACTTTGTATGTGCATTATTTCCCATTTATCCAGTCACTTTAAAATTCCGTGAATTGCCCTGCCCTCTCAGTTTCAGGTGTTTCTACTTTAGGGTTGTTATGGGGTGGCGTTTACTTACTAGGTTTCTTAACTCAACACCACCCTCTTCTGTTGGCACAGCGAGTGCAGTTTCTAAAGTTCACTACATCAAACCTTTTATGTCGGAGTGGGGTTTATGTGATGTCTGAGTCTGCAATACTCTTATTTATAGAAGTCCCTTATTTTCCACCATTTGCTTTTTTCTTTTCCTCTATCACCAAGCCTCCAAGGAACACCTCACCCTTCCAAGTACCTCCCCTCCCTCAGAAACCCTGCCCTCTGGAACTGCCATTCTTGTCTCATGTGCTTCTGAGCCCCTTTCCTTTCCTTCCTCACTTGCCAGTGTTCTGATACACCAGGTCTCAGCCTTGTTCTTACTATTTTCCCATCTATGCACTGTCCTGTCTCTGGGACACCAGTGGAAACCAGCTGCATCCTCCAGTGTGGGCTCTGAGGCTGCCTCTACTGGTTTAGGATATTGATTTCCCCACCTACATGCATACTGAAGTCTGTGGTATTCTCTACTTATGCTTTAGGCATGATTTACGGGTGATGTTATCTGCTTTCCTTGTTGATCACTATGGTTTTTGGAAGACGTGTAGAGAGATATATATTTTAGGGGACTACTATTACCATACAGCAAATCAGAACTCCAAAAAGGAATTACCCTATGGATGAAAAACTATCAGCAATAAAATTAGGTTTAATCTATAAAAGTGTAAAAATAAGAAAAAATCTTAAAAGGAAATTTTTAAAAGTTCTTGTAATAGAAGAGACCATTTTTCTAGCTTTAAAAACCTATTTGAATGTAGAATGTTATATTTCATAAATGTTTGATAAGACTAAATTTCTGACACCAATTTCATTGCACACAGTAAGCAGGCGACCAAAACTAATGACGTGTCTTGGTTTTTGGGGTGGTTCTTTGTAGTTTGTTGACTTTCGAGAAACTATTATGAAGATGTTGGGATTTAACATGAAAACATCAGACAAGACAATCATCAATCACCTAAGGCTTATTGTACAAGTTTATGAAGCATCTAACAAATCAAAGCCTGCTTCTAATTGTGAGACTGGACAGGATAATGAATAAAAAAGTTCTGCCTTTTCATTGCTGCCGAGAAGATACGGACATTTCCTCCAGCATCTTGAATATGGCTATGCTATGAATAAAATGCATTCAAAGAATTTCATTTGAATCTGTTCTCCTTTGATGTTTGGCATTTAACTTTTCTTTGTCATCATCTTGTTCTGTGTATTTATTTATGGTCTAGTCTGGATTATTACTTATATACTATTATCTAATTATATTTATTGTTAACCATATTTTAAGCAGGATATTAACCAGATCATGTGTTCTTAGCTGGACTATTTATAGTTAGCCTGTTTCTAGAATGAACAATTTATTGGGTATACTCCCCTTACGAATCCAGGTAAAGTTGTATTCTATAATTTGAATCTAATCTATTCAATTAACTGAGTGTGAAAATCAGATATGAAATGTTGAAAGGGTAAGAAAGGCATTAGAATTCTTACAAATGTGCAATACACTGTATTTTGTAGTTTTAATTTTTTTAGTATTTAATAGTGTCTGCCAGTGTTTTCCTTATGGTAGGCCAATCTTTAAGTTAACAGGCTACTTTTTAAACAGTATAATTTCTTATGTATTTCATTTAAAATAGGAAACTGCTCTTCTTCCAAGTTAATTTTAGATTTATCCAAGCCTATGGAGACTCAATACCTACTGTGGTCATTTAAACAGATCTCCTGTGGGGCTGTTACAGAGGGATTTGCAGAGTGGAAGGAGTCAGGTTACACAGGACCCTACTGAAGTAGCACTTGGAAGAAAATGATTATCTCGAATACTCATTCAAGGCAAAAAATGAGAATCACTCATTTTCTAAATGGTCACAGCCATGCTTCTCAAACTGCATGCCAAGGCACTCAGGTGCATGGCAGGGATCTCAGCATGCCGCAGATTATTTCAAATTTTAAAGAGAAATAGTGATACTTGACATTTGTCAAGGAAATACTTAAATTATTAGCTCTAAGTAGTTTATAGTTTCAACACTGGATAGCTCTTCCTTTTATTTTTATTTTTTTGCTGGAGGAAGATTGTCCCTGAGCTAACATCTGTGCCAATCTTCTCTACTTTTCTATGTGGGTTGCCACCACAGTGTGGCTGATTAGTGGTGCAGGTCCATGCCCAGGATCTGAACACTCGAACTCAGGCCACCAAAGTGGAATGCACCGAACTTAACCACTACACCAGGCGGCCAGACCTAGGTCTTCAATCCTTTTGATGACATATCTTTGTGATGGAAACTGCCCAGGGCTTCTTAAGACTTGTAAATTTGTTGTCAAGTGGGGCCCAGCAGTTGCTGGTACCACTACCAAGGAAGTTAACTCCAGGAACCCTGGCTGCAATATAAGAAACTCACTTACCTTTCCTCTTAACACTATCCTTGGCCTAGCAACAGAGGAAAGGTAGGAACACCCTGCCCAGAACCTCCATCCTGCTCAAAGTGTAACTCTTCAACCTTCTTGTTCAGGATTCCCCCAGGGCCACGGCCAAAGGTCAACTGGCTTCTGCAGCCTCAGCACAAGGAGCTGGGGGACTGCACTACCCCACAAGCCAGGCAGGCTGTCCCCCTTTCCAGAGCTGCTCTCCATGAAGGTCAAGGTGCCAAGGTGTGGCAGTCTCTGAAAGAGCGACTTTATAAGCATCTTAAAGAAAAATCTTCTGTAAGTACAATAAGGCCTTAGTCTTAATGCTCCTTCATGAATTGTGTTCGTAGGAACTGATTGTTCAACCACGGAGCACTGTAAAAGGTTAGCCATGTTAGCTCTGAGCAGATAAGGGAGAAGGACCCTTCCAATACCTGGAACAACAGTCTTTTCTGGAACTGCTTTCAATCCTGTGGCCAAATCACTGCCACATTGTTTTTCAATGATGAGAACTGGGATTTAGAGTTAAAGGTTTCGGATAAGTAGTTCTTAACCTTTAAGATGCATTAGAATTACTTAATTAAGACCTTTTTTTCTGGAGCTACCCGGAGATTCCCGTTCAGCTAGTGTGGTATGATGCTTAAGTATGGATCTTTTTTCAAATTTCCCTAAGCGTTTGAATTGATAAAATTACTTTGAAAAACTGTTTGGCAGTATATTAGTTTCTTGTTGCCGCTGTAATAAATTATCACAAACTTTGTGGCTGAAACAAATATTTATTATCTTACATTTTTGGAGGTCTCAGCGGTGTTGGCAGCGCTATGTTCCTTCTGGAGAGGGGAGAATCCATTTCCTTGCCTTTTCCAATGTCTAGAAGATGCCGATATTCTTGGCTCACAGCCTCCTTCTTCCATCTTTGAAGCCAGGGTCATGACGTCTGCCCAGTCTTACTTGGGTTATCATTTCTCTTGTTCTCTTCCTCCTGCCTTCCTCTGCTACTTTTAAAGAACCTTGTGATTACACCAGGCCCACCTGGATGATCCAGAATAATCTCCCTATTTTAAGGTCAGCTGATTAGCAATCTTAATTCTCTTTTGCCCTGAAGCCTAATATACATACAGGTTCCATCAGGGCATGGACATCTTGGGGGAGCCATTATTCTGCCTATCTGCCTACCACAGTTCATAGCTACTAAATTTGAACACATGCATGACTTATGAACTGGCAATTCCATTCCCTACAATATATACCTACCAGAATGTATATACATATTCTACCTAAGGACACAAAATTACTTATCACAGCATTGTTCATAACTGCCCCAAACTGGAAACTACTCAAATGGCCAAAAGTAGATTAAGTATGACAACCAGATCCACTAGTTAAGCAATCGTATCTCCTTCAGGTGTGGGACAAGGAGAGTAAACTGGAACGCTGAATTTTCTCAGGGGCCAAACTAGAAAGTGACTCTAGGTCCAAGACTGGGGAGACGGCAATTAGAGAAGAGCATGAGTTTGAGTAAAAATGGCAAATTTATGGGGCTCAACTTAGCACGTGGTAAGACAACACAGTGGGAAAAAGCAATGCCTATAAGGAGACTTTAGTTCTTGTTGAATATCTGTCACTAACCAGCCGTGTAACCCTTGGTGAAGTCCTGGGTTGAATTCAAATTTTCTTTATCTCAAAATTACAGAGGAAATGTGGCCTGGACTTCTGCCTTCTGACTCTGGGGTTCCAGGCAGCCCCAGCTACCCTGACAGAAACGTTTTTGGGTCAGATTAATGGAGCCTGTAGCCACAGGACAGGAGTCAGCAGGCGCAGCCACTAGGCACTTTCTGCCAGGGGATCGTTTTCTCAGCTGCAAAGCGCCTGTCCCTAGGCGCGAAAGGATGAGATCAATCTCCTCCCTCCCCACCTAACAGACTCTGCCCTTCCCCCACGCGCGTCCCTTCCGCAAAGAGGGACCATTAGGACCTGCACACCCTCCTCTGACGCCTCGCCTGCGGTCTAAAACACCCTAGAGACACATGGAGCTGCTTCTACGGAGACCGCCTTCCTGTGTGGGACTCCTATTCAGGACTTCACTGCGCACGCAGCTAATACTGAGAAGCGACTCCCTCCACCGAAGTGCGCGCAGGACAGACCAGAACCCCTGTTCACCGACAGCTCAGCGGGGCCGCGTTTCTGCGCCTGCGCACCGCCTAACGTGGCTGCGCGTGCGCGGCCCTGCGGGAAAGAGACCCGGAGACTCTCAACTGCGGGGGCGGGGGCGCTGTGCGTCGCTGCAGGCGGAAGCTGGCGAAGAAAACGCCGAGGAACTGGGTTTGGATGGCTGGCGGAGCTGATTGGCTGGTGGAACAGTCCAGATCGCGCCTTCCTGTGGGGTGGGGCACCCGTGAGGAGGCGTCGAGCCGCTACTGCAGGCCCTCGCTGGCGGGGCAGGGGGCGGGGCCGGAAGGGGCGGTCTCGCGGGAACGGTTTCGCGGGCGCGGGAGGCAGGCGCGTTTCTGGGACCCGCCCGGTGGAGGGCGCGCGTCGCCGGGGCTGAGGGCGCGGCGCTCCCGCGCGCAGTTCAGGCCTGACTCCCGCGCGGGGACTTGGTGGGCGCCGGGCGGCCTGCAGAGGTTAAACCTGCAGCGCGTGGGGCGGCTTCCGGCATTCTCGACCGGCGCCGTCAGGCTGGTGTCGGGGACCCCACCCCGATTCCGAGCCGGAGGGTCTGAGTGGCGCCCGTAACTGGTTTCAAAACCTCAGGTGACCCTGATGCTCGGCCAGGGTTGAAGCCCAGCCCGCCGAGGTGGGGCGCCGCGTGGCTCCCCCAGAGCCCGGGGTAACCCCGGGGTCGGCCAGTGCGGGCAGGGAAGGGTCGTCGGCCCTGCAAGTCGTTGTGGGGTCCCGCACGCAGATGTGGGGTTGGAGAGCGGACGCGGGCCTGACATGCACGAGATGCCAGGTGTCCGACGAGGGCGGACAGTGCTCCCCTGGGCGTCCGCTCTGGAGGAGAAGTGAGACGGGGGGCATTTGCTGGGGGGGCAGGACCGGAGGATGGAGGCTGCTGGGACGCTTGTGAGAAGTGGTCCTGCCGGTTTCCGAGTCGGATGAGTTTGCTTTCTCTTCTGAGAACCTAGCTGGTTCTTAACACGCACGGATTACGCTACTGTTCTGAAAATAAGTTGTTCAAGTCACTTTGGACTTGACCAAACATCTGGGTTCTTTTGTAAACGGTTTTTTAGGATGGTCTTATTGATGGCAGAGTTCATGTATTGAACTTGATTCATTTTTTATTTTTGGGTTTTGGGAGATGGCTTTTACCTTATTTCTAAATTCTGATGATATTTTACAGGAGCCTCATATATGGAATTAGAGACTTTTTTATTAATAGTTTTACTGAGATGTAATTTATATACCACAGAATTTACCTGTTTTAAGTGTACAATTCAGTGATTTTTAACTCATTGACAGAGTTGTGCAAACATCACCTTAATGGAATTGAGATTCTTTGGTGACTTCTTTTTCCTGGTAATAGCCTTTATTCTCAAGTTTTGCACAAGTGGACATTTTAGAGATGCAATGTAACATAAGGGCCTTTGAAAATGTACACCCAAATTGTGTTATACATGAGCAGGTGAAGTTAAGAGAGTTGAAGCAGATGTTCCTCGAAGTTTCAGGTAGTGAGACTTTTGTGTATTGCAATACCAAATAGATATTGATCATTTCAACTGTCTTGTTTGCCGAGGAGTATGGCATAAACTCCATTTTCCAGATGAGGAAATCGACTTTGAAGGATAAATTGCCTAAAAGCTTCATGGCTGTGCCTAGGCTGGGCCCCAACCCTGGATGCTTTGTCTGTAAGTTTATTGCCTTTCCCGCCTCCTCAGCCTGGTTTTCAATGATCTGTGTATAACCTGTACAACTCATTCATTTATTGAGCAAATAACTATTGAGTGGCTACTAAGCCAACAGCAACAATTAACACTACTCTAGATGCTAGAGATACTACCGTGAAGCAGCTAAGTTCCCACCCCAGTCAATGTTCTGGTGGGAGGACAATGATCAATTAAAGAACTGTATACTGTAATTTTTTTTTTAAGGCAAAGTAAGAGTATAGGGAATGGTGGTAGGAGATAGACTCTGACGAGCAGAAATCTGAAGAGAGGAAGTTGGATTGTAAGAAAAAAAGCAAAGATTTGTTTTGAGCAACTGGGAAGATGGAGTTGCCATTGACTTAGTTGAAATAAGGTAACACTGTGGAAGGACCAGGTTTTGAATTTTAATTCAGCCGTAGATGCTTTTAGATGCCTCTTAGACCTCCAAGTGGACATACGGTATTTAAATCGATGAAGTTGAATGTGATCTGGCCAAGGGAATGGGTGTAGGCAGGGAGAGGACCAGGGACTGATCTGTAAGACACTTCATGTTTAGACTTCAAGGAGATGAGGAGGAACCAGGAAGGAAGATTGACAAGGAGAGTCCAGTGTGTGATGAGGAAAACCACAAAAGCCTGCAGCTTTCGAACAATAGTGAGGAAAATGTTTTATAGAAGGAGGGTTAATTAACTGTGTTAAATATTACAGATCGAATAAAATGAAGACTGAGAATGGCCTATTTATAAGAGACTAGAAATACATAAAATCTTTGGATACAAATGTTTGTACTGGCAATTACTACAGAAGCAGTGTTTCTTCCTTTTTGAGGAGATGTACATTTTTAAAACCTTTTCAAAGGGCAGTTTGATATTATCTAAAGTTTAAATGTATGCCTACTTTGACCAAGTAATTTCACTTGTAGGAGTTTATCCTACAGAAATATTTATACATGTACACAAAGATATATATGTAAAGGTGTTTGTCACAGCATTGTTTACAACTGTAAGAAAATACAGTTTTGCATCAAGATGGATGTAGCTTTATTTTTTTTTAGCAGCCAACCAATATATATGTATATTTTTAAAGATTGGCATCTGAGCTAACATCTGTTGCCAATCTTCTTTTTTTTTTTCTTTTTCTCTTCCCCAAAGCCCCCAAGTCCATAGTTGTATATTCTAGTTGTGAGTGCCTCTTGTGCTATGTGGGATGCCACCTCAGCATGGCCTGATGAGCAGTGCCATGTCCGCACCAAGGATCCGAACTGGCAAAACTCTGGGCCGCTGAAGCGGAGCGTGAACTTAATCACTCAGCCACAGGGCCAGCCCCTAGATGTAGTTCTTATTATTTTTTTTTTTTTAAAGATTTTATTTTTTCCTTTTTCTCCCCAAAGCCCCCCGGTACATAGTTGTGTATTCTTCGTTGTGGGTTCCTCTAGTTGTGGCATGTGGGACGCTGCCTCAGCATGGTCTGACGAGCAGTGCCATGTCCGCGCCCAGGATTCGAACCGACGAAACACTGGGCCGCCTGCAGCGGAGCGCGCGAACTTAACCACTCGGCCACGGGGCCAGCCCCTCTTATTTTTTTTTTTTTTAAGGTTTTTTTTGTTTTTCCTTTTTCTTCCCAAAGCCCCCTGGTACATAGTTGAATATCTTAGTTGTGGGTCCTTCCAGTTGGGGCATGTGGGATGCTGCCTCAACATGGCCTGATGAACGGTGCCCTGTGTGTGCCCAGGATCGGAACCAGCAAAACCCTGGGCCACCGCAGCAGAGTGCGCAAACTTAACCACTCGGCCACGGGCCGGCCCCTGGATGCAGTTTTAAAGGAAAGATGTAAGTGTATTGACATGAAAGATAGCTGCTATAGACTGGATTTTGTCCCCGCTAAGTTCACGTGTTGAAGCCCTAACCCTCAATGTGATGGTGTCTGAAGGTGGAGCCTTTGGGAGGTAATTAGGTTCAGGTTAGGTCATCAACAGGGGGCCTCCATGATGGGATTAGTTTTCTTGTAAGAAGAGGAAGAAAGACCTTGTGAGAACACTACAAGCCAGGAAGTGGGTGTTCACAGGAAGTGGGGACTGAACTGGCTGGCACCTTGCTCTTAGACTTCCCAACCTCCAGAACTGTGGGAAATAAATGTCTTGTTTAAGCCACCCAGTCTACGGTATTGTGTTATAGCAACCCTGGTTAAGACTGGTAGCTTTGTCAAATGATGAAGTTAGGTTGTTAATAGAATGTATAGTGTGGTCTTGTTTATCTTGATATGTCCATAGGAGGCCTATCTAATCACACTATCAAAAATTACACCCTCACTTACCTTCCCTGATCACTGTTACGTTACCTTTTTCTGTCTACAGCACTTATCACTATCTGAAAGTATTTTATTTTTCTATTTACTGTCTTTCTTGTCATAGTAGAAGGTAAGGTAATAAGATTTTTGCCTCAGTTACTTACCTTTCTATCCCCACTGCTGGGGTATATAATATTTATGAACACTGTTTTAGGGAAAAAGCCGAAACAGACAGTATTCCTGTGGCAGTTTTAAAGTAAGACCACAGGAACTGGCTGTGTGGTGTAGTGGTTAAGTTCACACACTCTGCTTAGGTGGCCCAGGGTTCACGGGTTCTGATCCCGGGTGTGGACTTACACACTGCTCATCAAGCTATGCTGTGGTGGCATCCCACATACAAAATAGAGGAAGACTGGCACAGATGTTCCCTCAGGGACAATCTTCCTCACCAAAAAAAGAAAAAAATAAAACCACAAATTCTTTGGTACTCTTTCCTTCAAAGAGTGGTGGCTAATTCCCCTCCTCTTGAGTCTAGGCTGGACTTAGTAACTAGCTTTTAGTGAGTAGAATATGGTAGAAGTGGTGGTATGTCAGTAGGTCATAAAAGGCATCATGACTTCCTCCTTGCTCCTTCTCTTGGATCATTCATTTGAGCAAACCAGCTTCCCTGTCATGAGGACATATCAGGCAGTGCTATGGAGAGGCCCATGTGGCAAGAAATGAGGCTGACTCCAAACAGCCAGGGGGAACAGGACGAACAGGCCTGCCAACAGTCGTGTGAGTGAGCCACCTTAGAACAGTTCCTTTCAGCCCCAGTCAAACCTTCAGATGACTGCAACTCCAGGTGACACTTGACAGCAATGTCACACGAGACCCTGAGCCAGATCACTCACGTAAGCCACTCGAAATCATGTTAGATAATACATGTTTGCTGTTTTAAGTTGCTGTGTTTTGGGGGTAATATCATAAGCAGCAAGAAATGATACAAGTATTTGTAAGTATTACATTCTGTTGTTTTAGTTAATAATTATTAGTCTCATTCTTGAGAAAATCACTTAATTTCTCCCTGTCTTAGTTTTATCATATATAAAATAGTTGGACAGTGCTTGTCAACTCTATCTTCATGTTAGAATTATGTGGGCAGCTTTTTAAAAAATGTATGCCTAGTGCCTACACTAGATCAGTTAAAATCGATCAGAACTCAGGGTAGGGTCCAGGCATGTGTATTTTTTAAACTCTGAGATTCTAATATGCAGGCTGGGTTGAGAACTTCTAGATGACCTGTGAACTTTCTTCCTAGTGATTCTGTCATGACCGATACATAATTGGGACATATTTTCACTGCTGTAAAAGCATTTCCCTGGAATTAGTATCCCAGTTTTCAAGATAACTAATCTTTGCTTTAGGACTAGACAATGGAATTCTTATTTGTACTTCTTCTCTGAAGGGGTAAGTATATATTGAAGAACAAAAATTTGACCTATTTTAGGAATTTCACAGCAGAATTAACCAAAATATGATGTTCACATTTGCTGGGGGTTTTGCTTTCGGTGGGATCATTTTCTTAATGTTTTTCTTGTACTTGAGGAAATCTGCTGTGTTGTTTTCATTTTATTAATCAGGAAAGTAAAGAGCTGCAGTTCTTATTGGATCATTTTAAAAGTCCTCACACCCTCTTTTTGAACCTTTATGATGTGTTCACCTAGCATCAGTTGCTGCTTCTCCGTCCTCTTTTTTCTTTTTCTTTTTTGCAACAGCTTCTTTGATGTGCAAGCAGTCTGCCACTCAGTGCAGACATTCATTTTATAGACACCGTGTTTCTCCTGGGATTTATCTTGGATTTGGGATTTTGTCCTGTACCTGATATGGTAAAACGTTGTGGATTTTGCTTTCTACCAGGTGAAGCATAACATATTATATCCTTTTTTTTTTTTAAATATTGGCACCTGAGCTAACATCTGTTACAAATCTTTTTTTTTTTCCCTTCTCCCCAAAGCCCCCCCAGCACATAGTTGTATATTCTTCTGGTTGTGCTATGTGGGATGCTGCCTCTGCATGGCCTGATGAGTGGTGCTGTGTCCATGCCCAGGATCCAAACTGATGAAACGCTGGGCCACCAAAGCAGAGTGCATGAACTTAACCACTCAGCCATGGGGCAAGCCGCTACTATATCCTTCTGATTTAAAGTTTTGATAATTCCTATGGGTGTATAGAAGTGGGAGTAGGAGTCACATATGAACCTAAAACCACAGTAGAATAATTGAATTACACTACTGTTTTTCCATTTTACTTCAAGGTGCCAAATAATTTTCATTTTATTTTTATAAAGTTTGTTTGGGAGAAGAGTGCTATCATCATCTATATAAATGACAAGCTGATTGTAAGGTTCATATACAAATGCAAAGGACCTAGAACAGCCAAAACATCTTTGAAAAAGAGTAGCAAAGTTGAAGGATTAATACTACCTGATTTTAAGATTTGTTTAAGGCTATAATAATCAATATGTGTGATACTGGCATAAAGATAAATAAAAGGATCAATGAAATGGAATAGAAAATCCAGAGATGTCCACATATATATAGACATCTGAGTTTTTAAATGTAAAGGTAGAAGGACAATTCAGTGGAGAAAGGGTAGTTTTTCCAACAGATGATTCTGGAGCAGTTGGACCCATATGCCCCGCCCACCCAAAAAAA